AAAAACAGCAGTGGAGTAGGCTCTTGGGCATAAGAGCGAAGTGGATCTCTCATCTTATTTGCTTCTGACAGGCTCTGCCTGACAGAACATCTACAATAAACAGGCACTCCAGGGAGAAGTGGAGGGGTGAGTGAAGGAGTTGGCGTGGAGCTGCTGGGAGGTGGCAGAACATTAGTCTATAATCTTGCCCCAGTCTTTGCTAAGCACACATCCCTGCCCGGGCTGGCACACCTGAAGACGCAACAGGCTTGCCCTCAGCAAGCTTAGTCTGGCCATAGGTGTTATTTTAAAACATAGGCTTGGGGGCCTCCCCTGTTGGCGCAGCGGTTGAGCGCTGGGCTGCGAAGCTGCCCGCAGCCTCTGCAGCACTGGTTCAATCCCCGGCCACCAGCGAGGGTCCCACATGGTGTGCAGACCTCTCCTGCTGCACCCGCTTCTCCCCTCAGCAGTGTGTTTCGTCAGTCTGCCTGTTCTGTTCCCCCCTCTGGCTCTGGTGAATTCTCTCACCCTCCTGGGCTTCTGACTGTACCCAGTGCTTGTATAAATAAATAAATCTTAAAAAAAAAAAAAAAGAAAAAAGAAAAAAACAACAACAACATAGGCTTGGGCCTCCCTGGTGGTGCAAAGGGTTAAGACACAATCTATGAAGCTGTCTGCAGCCACTGCAGCACGAGTTCGATCCCTGGCCAGGGAGCAACCCATATGGCGCAGCAGACCTCTCCTGACTTGCTTGCTGCTCCCCTCAGCAGTGTATTTCAGTCCATCTGCCTGTTCTGCTCCCCACTTTGTCTCTGGTGAATTCTCTCACCACCACCACCACCCCCACACACCTCTGGCCTGTACCCCAGTTCTTTTATGCATAAATAAACAAATCTTTAAAAAAAACAAAACAAACCAGGCTTTACTGTTGTTCAGTTACGCTCAGGCCAGCAGACAGGGAGAGGACGCCCACTGAAAAGCCGGCTTGTTGTTCAGTTTCCAAGTGCAGCAGCCATGCCGTGACACATGTGGCCACACAGGGCCACACGGGGAAGCACCAGGGACAGTCACATGGGGCCACGTGGGGAAGCACCAGGGGTGGCCAGGAGTTAAAGGGGGTTGCAGGGGGAAACATAGACTCAATCCTTTGTTGTGGTTTCCGTGGGAAGGAATTGGCGAGGCCAGGTAAGCAGGGCTAAGCAGGTTTGGGATAAGTAGGTTTGGCTAGTTTGCATAATTTCAGAAGGTAATGGAGCATAGGGACAGTCCCTACTGTGTGGTACCTCACCCTGGGGAGGTTATGGCAGGGGAAAGTGGCCTAGTGAGAGTCCTGTAAGGGCAGTGGTGGGGCGTGGGCTCTGGATGGGTTGGTTTGATATGGACGGTGAGCTCACAGCAACTGTCTAGGAACGGGCCGGCCCCAGGAAGGGCAGCCCCTCTAAGTTCAGTGAGGCCCCAGATGTCAGTGCACGAGAAATGCGTGGTTAGGACAGGTGCACTTGGTGCTGGCACGGAAGGGGAAAGGGCTGGGCCATGCAGGAGGAAAAACAGATGAAGTGCTCAGGGCTTCCTGAGTTGATTGGTTTGGTTTGGTATTTGAAGGGGGGTGCTGAGGAAGGGAGAAAGTCTAAATGGGAGGGGACTGCATTTGACTGAGCCACCAAAAATGTGATGTGTGCCAACTAGGTGCAGGTTGGCTGTAGGCAGAGAGCCTATGTCAGGGGCTCAGGATGGAAAGTATCTGAAGGGGCATAGCCAGAAAAACACTCAAGGAAGGCCAGGCTCTTGAATGCCAAGCTGAGGCATTTGGATTTTATTCTGTGTGAGTTGGCCAGAACTCTTCTATCCTCTGGGGGTTCTCCTAATGAATTCATAGACACACAGAATGTCTACGCTTGGCCATATATCATAATCACAGAACTTAATTAACAAGTTAGGATGCTGATGTAAATTTATTCCGGATGGAAAAAAGAAATCCCCTGTGGCGTTATGGGTTGAAAATTCAATGCCTCCTGGGCCTGCAGGTAATGTCAGCGAGTGAAAAGGGTCTTGGGACCCGCAGGGGTCTGTTTTGTGCTAACAGGAGGAGTTGGTGGCTTCTGAGCTCCCTTGGATCACATGATGGAGGTGGGCTCCAGAGTTGCCAGATCTTCCTAATTTTCTTTTCTTTTTTTCAAAGAATTTTATTTAAAAAAAATTTTTTTAAGATTTATTTATTTATGCATACAAATGCTGGGGTACAGACCAGAGATGTGGGGGATGAGAGGATCCACCAGAGACAGAATGGGGAACAAAATAGGCAGACTGAAATACACCGGTGAAGGGAGCAGCTGGCGAGACAGGAGAGGTCTGCCTTGCCATATGGGTTTCTCCCTGGTCGGCCGTGGATCGAACTTGTGCTGCAGAGGCTGTGGATTGCTTCATAGTGCAGTGCTTAACCCCTTGTACCACCAGGGAGGCTCAGATCTTCCTAATCTTCAAGAAAGACTGGAAACTCGTATTCTTTTGGAAACTCTGAGTTTTTTTTTTTTTTTTTTAAAGAGCAAAGTCATTTATTTTTGTTTTTAAGATTTATTTATTTATTTATACAAGTACTGGCTATGGTCAGAAGCGCGGGAGGGTGAGAGGATTCACCAGAGCCAGAGCGGGGAATAGAAAAGGCAGACTGATGAAGTACACTGCTGAGGGGAGCAGCGGGCGCGGGAGGAGAGGTCTGCGTGCCATGTGGGACCCTCGCTGGTGGCCGGGGATTGAACTGGTGCTGCAGAGGCTGCGGGCAGCTTCGCAGCCCAGCACTCAACCACTGCGCCACCAGGGAGGCCTGGGAACTCTGAGTTTTATGAAATCACCTGGCAACTAGGTAGTGCATCAGGCCTGCACAAGGACTCTTGCTGGTCTCTTTCTGTTGTGCGCCTGTCACCCCATTTCAAGTGAGAGGCTCAGAGAGGACATGAGACAATTCAAGGTGTATTTGGGAAATAGGCACACTAGGTCAGGGATCAGATCTGGCATCCAAAGATGGTCTCTGAGGTATTGAGCAAACCACTCTGCTGTCCTCCATTTGCACATCCACTTTGACAAAGCTCATTCATTCTTTTATTCATTCAACAAATACAGAGCATCTGATACATAGAAGGCCAAGACAGAGACATCACACCCAAAAAGTAGAAAACTTGATGGAGTGCTGTCTAAAATTATATTGTTGTAACTTTTTCAGCCAAACAGATACTAAAAGGTGCTGTGATCTGTGGCTTTTTTTGCTGTAGCTATGTGGGTGAATTTCTGGCATAAGGAAATGCTGTGATTGACAGGTGGGGTGGGTGGGCATGCACAAGACTCTCCCGCTGCTGCCCACACCATCTGGTTTGGTTCACGCCAGGTTCTGGACTGTGAGCTCAGTGGGTGGGCCTGTGCCTTTTTGATGTTGGTGGCTGCCCAAGTGACAATGTGGTGTTGGGCACCAAGCAGGTGTGCAGATGTCTTCCAGAGGAGTGAATTGCATGTGGCAGTGTCTGCATTTTTAGACCAGATATTAGCCTCATGACCATAAAAAAAGCTACAGCATAATCTTAGTGTTTAAACGTGAACGTTAGGAGAGTAGCAACAAGCAGAATTTGTAAAATGACCTGATTTTATCATGATACCATTATTGGGTCTATGTTTTTTTTTGTCTTGTTTTATGGGGTTGACAATAGTTCAGCAAAAGCTGAGAGGTTTCCTATAGAATATCAGGCTTCTTTTGGTGCCAGGCCCTGCTGTGGTTGAGTATACATTGGGATGGATGGAGAGAACAGAGGGCAGGATGGGGTAGTGTTCTCCAGACAGCCACCTGTAGAGTGAGTAAGATCCCATGGGAAAGTCTGGTATAGAGACACACCTGCATTCATAATGCTCCCCAGTGCTGCTGCGTGCATGCATATTATCTTGTGTGTCTTCACGTGACAGGCCAGGTTGTGAATTCTAGATGCCTTTTTCACTAAAAGGATCATGGTGCCCTTTAAAAAATTATACATAAAGACAATACTAAAGTGTAAAATTATACTTGAGAAAGTATTTATCAGATATAAAATTTGAAAACATTTACTGTGGCCTTTCTTTGCTTGAGTGGGTGATGGCTAGCCTCATTTCACTGTTGTCGGAAGCGCAGGTTTGCCTTGCCTGTGTGTCCCTATGTGTGCATGCCTGTGTATGTGTATGTGTGCGCACGTGTGTAAGTGCACATGTGCATGCATGTATGTGTAAAATGTTCTTTTAAAAATCAGCATTAAGGTCAGAGCTATTCAGAAGTCCACAGTTGCAAAGCATGAGAGCCTGCACAGCGCAGACCCATCACAGGCCTGGCTCTTTGTAGTCTGCTACCATAGGGTGCTGCGAGATGATCCCTGGACAGTGCCTTGGGGATCCCATACTAGTTTATAAATTGCTCCAAGGAAGTCTTTGATTTTTTGACACTTATTGCAGCCTTATTGCGGCAGTTATGCAGAGGGCACAAGATTTAAGGCAGGGTGTATAGAACACCTTTTCCATGTGGAGCTGCAGGGGGCACTTAGGTGGGCTGAAAGTAATGACCTGCCTGTGAATCTGACAGGAGCACCAGGCTTAGCATTGCCTCCTTGTTGAGAATGTCCTTTTGAAATATGTGCTTGGATACTGCTTCTGTCCTATTAATTATGTCACAAACTTAGTAAAGCTGATAATTAATGATCACGGGGCACTTGGAACTGTAAAATGCCATGTAAATGTTAAGGAGTAAAAATTACTCTGTGTATTAAATAGATATGCTACTTTAAAACTATTCCACCGTGGGAAGGGTAATTTCCAGAAGAGCTAAAAAGTTCTCTGCTGGGCTATCTTCAGAAACTGTTGATATCTTATTATCTTAATTACCCACATTTTAGGAGCGTTAGGTATTCTGGATTCTGAAGTATTTGAACGACTGACGGTAGCTTGGTGCTTTAGCTCTGGGAATGAAATTGTCCCTTAGAAGTCAGTAAAAATTGTATCTGCTTGATTCTTCCTAGTCGGAGACAGTTTGGGCCCAAAGCCAAGGAAGAGGTCAAGATCATCGAGCACCAAACACAGACCCTTCGGCTGATGCCTCACCTGGCCACAGCCTTGGCCCTGACCTTCGCCAGCAGGTGAGAGGCTTCTGTGGGTTTGCCCTCTTGAGGTGAGTGTAAGACTGGCATTCATGAGTGCGAGGAGACTTGGGGTAGCTTCATTTTTTGATTGCAAAGAAAAAAATGAAAAAAAGGAGAGACTGTTAAAATCCATGCTCAGGTTAAAAGTGATGTCTGCATCACCATTGTCTGTATATACAGATACGAGGGATGTACAGGGGGTTGGAAAAGATTCGCACTGATGTCTCTCCAGAGTTCCTAAAAGAATCAGCCTTGATAAGTTAAAATTTCTCTGACAACTCCAGTTTACTGTAAGGTTTGCAAAAATAGGTCAAATTATATATATTTGGGCAAGTAGGGAGGTGTCAGGTTATTGAATAAAATAGCAATGACAGTTCTTTAAATTCACATGGAACTTCACCTTTTACAATAGGCTTTCTTCTCTATCTTGTCTGTTTTTTCTCAAAGTACAAAGGGTTCGTCTCAGCAGTTGGTGTGATCACTGCAGCCTAAAATTCAAGAGATGTGTGAAACATTTTTGAGGGTAAAGGGTAGAAAATAACAGGCTCCTATGTGTGTAGGCTAAAACAGGGAGAGAGTGGAGCTCAGTGCTCACTTACTTGGGGTCGAGGGGGCAAAGGCAATTGGCCACTGGAGCCAGGAAACCCGAGGGGGAAGAGTGAACTTGGACACAAAGAGGTTTTCTGAGGGAAGGGAGATTCTGTGAAACTGCCAGTTGCAGTGTGTGGGGTGATTGTTCTGGAGCTGAAGGGCCCATGGAGATGTTGGGAGCCCTTGACAAAGGACAGACCTTAACCCTCCTTTCATCTGCAGCTCTACCTACTGCTGTCCTCCGTTGGTGGCCCCTCCCATGCTGCTTTGCCCGTCACTCATCTCTGCTTGCCTCACAGGTATGCTGGGGCCCTCCTGGACCAGGACATCTTCCAGGGCAAGGAGCTCATCAACAGTCGCCCATTGCAGGCCCTGGTGGCGGGGCTGAAGGCCTACAGTACCTGGGAGAACCTGGGCTGCCTGCAGGACTGCCGTGAGTGCACAGGAGGCATGGTGAGTCCCCAGCAGTGCACTGGGGGACATGGGCTGTGCAGCCAGTCACTGCCCTGGCTGTCCTTGCAGCCCTGGCTGTGTTGCTTGGCGTTGTCATCTGTGCATGTCCGCCCACATGATGCTGCGAGGTCGTGAGGTGCTTGGCCCACAGTGCCAGCCCTTGGGGGCCTGTAATAAAGATTATTAAAGTTGGTCATGGGATGGTTGACATTATGGGGAGGGCTAGTGAGGGCCAGATGATCAAAGCTCTGCTCCAGCATTCTGTTCCCTTGGGGAAAATGCTAGAAGTGACTCCAAAGGGCTCTGAGGAAGATGGGGATGTGCCAAGCACGTAGAGACTGCACAGTGTATTCCCAGCCCCCGCCTCATACTAGGTTATGGGATTAGGGACACACGAATCCAAATCTTGGGAGAGTTGAGAGGGTCTCTGAGAATAGTTGGCATCTTGATTCCCCAAGCTCTAAAGGCAGAGAGGTCTGTCTGAAGCAGGATGCAGGGGTTTCTGCATCCTTGTGGGGACCCAAAACAGGTGAGAAGGCATCCCAAATGGGGTCTCTGAGATCAGGACTGGTGGAGTGGAGGCTTGGGGATCTGTGACTCTACAAGGTTGCAGGTATTAGCTGTGGTGGCATGGGGTTCAGCAGGGAAGTCAGTCCTGCTTTGGTGACCCCAGGGACTACACCATTTCATCAGCATGCACGCTGCATGCATACACTGCTGGGGCCTCTGGATAACACCTCCAGAGGAGAAGGGAGGAAGGAGGGACACCCTTTTCATCCTTTGTCCTGAGTTTAATCCTGAATTTGATCGAATATTTGCATAAAAACAGCAGCTCTGATCCTGAAGGAGAGATGGAAAAAATCTAGCCTCAGTGAGAAGAGGTCCAAGAGCAGCTACAGAAAATAAAGGGTGCCTTTCTGGAAAGCTGAACACTCCACTTCTCTGCATTAGCACCAGGGGCACTCGGAGAGGTGAGGGCCCAGGAGGGACTGGACCTTCATAGCAAGCAGTTTCTCTTCATAGCCTTCATATAGCAAGTAGTTTCTCCCACATGAGCCTGTGGCTGGGGATGGGGGCCTCTTGTGTGATCATTTGTCTCAAGGTGGCTAGGCCAACATGTGCCCGTGGTGAAGGGCAGCCTGGGTCAGCCAGGTGCGTGTTGTGCCCAATGGTGGCAGGCATGATTGCAGTGCTCTGTGAGATGCTGTTTGGAGTCCACAGGGAAAGGAGAGTGGAGGTTAAATGACCAATGGCGCTGGGATGCGGAGGTCTTCTGAAGTAGTCAGGGGCATGGGCTCATGGTAACTTCCCCTAGTGAGCTGACAAGTTGGGAGGCCTCTCCAAGGAGGATGTGGCGTCTTCTTTAAACAGGACTTTGCTGGCAGTGGCTAGGAGCAGAACTCAGATATTCCAAGTTAGACTTAGAAGGTTTCGGTCAGCAGGTGGGAGATAAGAGTGGAACCCCTCTCAGACGCAGCCAGCCTGGGGTTGGGATGCTGCTGGGGGTTCTGAACAGATTCTGATGCTGTAGCCGTGATAGGTGACTCATCTGGGTTCTGCTCAAAACCAGTGTGGTCTTTTGATCTAGTCTTTCTCCCTTCACCATTCCCTTTGCATTTCTTGGACTGGCATGTCCAGTGGATCCATGCCCTGGGCCACCTTATCTTTTCTACTTGCTGGCCCTCCTGCACTCTGCTTGGCCTTTATGATCCTCCATCCTTACACCTGGCCCCAGAGCTCCATGTTCTCCCTGGGTCAATCTGGAGCTCTGGCAGGCATGTCTCAATAGTCGCCTTTGCCTTACCCAGCTTTCCAGTGACCCTGCCCGGTTCTGCATTCCTTCTTGTCCAGCACCACCCGCAGTGCAGAAGTGAGCCCTCCATCACCATGTGCACAGGACCTGAGGCTGCAGGGCTGGTTTTCCAGGCAGAATGTCAGCCCTGCCAGCTCACCAGCATCTGCTGCCTCACAAGCTTTGTTTCCCAGGAGCTTCTCACAACCTGGATGCAAAGGGCCCTAGTTTTCTGAGTGGAACCCTTTTCCCTACTCCAGCCCTGCCATAGGGCTGCTTGTAGAAACATTAGTATTTATTAAAAGAAAACCACGAGTATCTTCTCACTATTTTTGATTCATCTTCAATGAGGAAGTCTCCAAAAGTGGAGAGATGTGGATTTGAGCTCGGGGCTACTGAGATGATACTGAAAATCACCTCTTTTAAGGCTATAGGCTTAGCTTCTAAAATATATATTTCAACACACATTTACCTTCTTTGGGGCCAGCAACCCTGGGTGTGACCTTGGGCAAATTGTTCCCTTCTCATACTTCTGTTTTCCCATCTATAAAATGAGGCTAGCAAGCTTTCCTTTGTAGTGGTTGTGAGGGTTGCCTTATATGAGTCGACGAGTATAAAATGCTTTACACATGGACCTGGCAGTTGGCATCTCTATGATGTAACTGAACTGGAATTTGGGGGAAAAAATCCCACCCACTCCCTTTTACTTGCCTTTATCCAAGGTGGAAGTAGAACCCAGCATGGTGTGGCAGGTGCTGAGCAGAATCCAGGTTGGGAGGACTTTGTGAGATCTGGGAGGAGGATCCCCAAACAGGGTCCTTCTAGTGACAGAAAAAGGGTGAACAGGAGACTTCAGATAGGGTGACAGAAAATCAGGGAGTAAATCTTTGATCATTACAGCCTTACTTCTGATGACAGTGTGTGCTATCAGTAGCCAACTGTTGACTGATCAACTGGACAATTAACAGATGGATGAGCAGATGAACTGATGGACAGATGGGATGATGGACAGGTTGACTGATGGCAGATGGGATGTGGACAGACTGATTGATTGACTAAATGATTGCCCTGTATTTTAATTTTCTTTCCTACTCTTAGAACTTGGAATTAATCTATAAACCTGGGCCCTCCTTTGTCTTAACTTGCTTTGTTATTATTGTTTTTTATCTTTAATGCTTTTTAAAAAAAATACTGACTTTATTGTTACTTTTTGGGGAAACACTGGTATGTCCTATAAGCTACTAATATTCAGAATGATGGTGATATTTATTAGCTCTAAAATCTGTACATACCCATCTTGACATAGTAGACCAGGGCTTGAGAAGAAGGTTAGGATGGAAAATCATTGTACAGTTTATTAAAATATGAGTACATGTGACACCTAATTTTTGCCTTTACCCTAAACATACAGCCTTGTAAATTCCTGTTTCTCTTGCTAACTTTAATGTTTGTTACTGTTGCTTAAAGTGAGGAGCATCTGTGCAGGGAAGCTTCTTTGCTGAGTAAATCATATTTGAAATCACATTTATTGTACTGTTCACCAATCACAAAAGTAATTTGTAGAATTTTTTTAAAATACAGAATAATACAAAGAAATAAATATGTCCACGTTGTACTTCCCAGAGATGACTGTAATGATTCTTTCTATGAAGTGCATGTGTGTGTGTTAAAACATTATAGCCTTCCCTTTCACCTAAGAGTTAATGTGGATGCCTTCAGATCACTGTTTTACAGTAAAGTTGTACCATGTACATGTGCCATAATTTATTCAACCAATTGCTTAGTTTATGTCAATTTTTTTTACTATTGTAAATAACATTATAAAAATATATTAGTACCTTTTTTTTGCATACCTGTGATTGTTTCTTTGGGATCAAGTATGTAAATGATACTTGTATTGTCAACAAAGGTTATACCATCTCCCACTCTACAGAATCCTATTGTTGCTCGACTAGTGGCTTGCAAACTCTTTTTACCATGATCCAAAGTAAAAGGTACACTTTTCATTACCACCCTGTATTTACAGACATATACATATGAAATCTAAAAAATAAATTTCATTTAACAACACTTGCTTCACTATTCTGATGTACTCTAATACTTTTTTATGTCATTTTAAGAAGTGGTAGTCATGGTGCATTAAGTTGATGCCATGACCTGCTAGTGGGTCACAGTCTATGTTTTCAAAACATAGACCAGACTCAGTGATCAAACAGAAAGGGTCTTGCTACAGGAAGTTGTGAGCTGCAGGCTGGCAGAGTTGTGTCTACCATGATCAAAAGAACCCAGCCTTCAGGGTAATGCATTTTCTGGCTCAGATTGTGAGGTGACTTATGCTGAACCAGAATCACTAATTTAATTTTCACTAGAATGTTACTAATTTGGCCCTTTGGGATTAAAATTATGTATTTGAAAATGGGAAAGATAAAAAGGCACTGACATAAAAAGTGATAATTTTTTCTTGTCTGCTTGGTCTATTTATCTCAGATCACAGGGAAGGAATCAAGGCCCAGCAGCCTGTAGTGTTTGGTTGAGAGAAGAGTTCAGAGCATTTTTGCTCTTAAAGTTTTCTATAGAAACTTTTGAATTTTGAGATTCTTTCTCTCTACCGATTAATATTTTCATTAATATTTTCATTAATATTTTGATGGTTGATTTTAATAACATTATCTTCCTATGTCAGGAATCATGGGACAGTCTTAGCTGGGCTGTTTGGATGGGAGCTTACAGATGTGCTTACAGAACATCTCAAACAGTAAAATAGATAAATGAGAGGCATACATAGACGTGAACTTTGGAATTAAATCATAGTGTGTCTTTTAACTCCTTTATTTCTAAGCCCTAATTTTTCCAACTAGCTCTACCTTCTCAGTGTATTTTGCTACTTTTGTGCATAAAGCCTGAGATAAAGAGATTTCATAGAAAAAATAAAATTTTTTCCAAAATCAGATTACCAAATGAACAATACTTGTTGGAACTTTCTTTCAGGTTCATGCAAGCACGTCTTTGCCTTAATATCTACTGATTACAAGCCATTTGCAAGTATTTCTACTATCTTTCCATATGTGGTGCAGTGTCCTAACTATGTGTTCCTGCGGGCCAGGTCATGTGAGGAAGGCACACTATATACTGTGCATGAAACTGTGTAAGGTTTCAGTCAAATGACCATTAGGGGACTTCTGACCAAGTTGGAGTAATAGGCAGCAGT